ACACACCCCCACCCCCCCCCAAAGTGAAGCTAGTTCAAATGGTGGAATGATAACTTGAGCAAAAGAGATCAGGGATAGTGCCAAGGCCCTGAGATCAACCTCTTAGTACAGGCACAAAATAAATATAAAAATTAAGAATGAGGGTTGGGAAGGTGGCTCAGTGGTAGAGCACTTGCCTTGCATGCTTGAGGCCCTGGGTTTGATTCCTCAGCATCACATAAGCAAAAAGAAAAAAGCCGGAAATGGTGCTGCGGCTCAAGTAGTAGAGTGCTAGCCTTGAGCTGAAGAGCTGAGGGACAGCGCCCAGGTCCACAGTTCAGGCCCCATGACCGGACCCCCCCCCCCAAAAAAAAATTAAGAATGAGGCTGCTAAGCACAGGAGTACTACAACTACCTCTAGTTTAAAAATGTAATAAATAATTCTTAATCTTAATTTGTGCCTTTCAACATTGTTATCGCTGTCATCCATAAATTCTTTCATTAAATACCTGCCTTTATGACAAGTTTTAAGACAAGTTAAAATGTCTACCTCTTAAAGATGAGCTGAGCACTTCCTAACAATTTGGTCCAAGCATGGCTTCAGGAGATGAAGCCTCTACACACACATGGCCCAGTCCTGCCTTTCCACAGGGACATGATTTTTGGAGTGGTGACAAGAGTGTACTTCTTGTTTCTCTTTACACTGAATATCCAACTTCACAGACACACATTTATCTTTAAAAGCATGAGTAATAACTTACATAAACAAGATCAGTATAAGCACTTAAGTAACTTCTGAAGTACTCTTCAAGGACACTGTAGCTCTAGAATCTGTGCTAGAGACACAGGATTTCTATTTGTGGCTTAAAAAATAACCTCTCATTCTCTTTGTGTTATATAAAGGCTCTGAAAATGACACTGGTAAATCCAGTGAAAAACTGGATTTGGCAGAAAAGCTGCCATATCCTCTAATGTGCATATTATTTTATATATGCTCCTCTGATTTCCTCATGATACGTTAAAATGTGAATTAAGTCTAAGTATAAAAGGAGTTTTCTTTTTATCACTAAGGTCATTATTTATTCAACATATTTTAAAAATGAATTTTATGTTTTAATATACCACAACCCTTAACTGAATAGTCTTCAAGATCTGTACATCAATATCTTTGACTAAATGATGTTGACAACACAGGAAAAATAGTGTGATTTTTCCCTTTATTCTAAATTTACTATAAGTAAACTATAACAAGACACACTAACCAAATTTTCCACTCATCATATCATTAGAAGACTATTACTTCCATGCAATAAGTGGCTTGCTGCTCATCTGTCAGGCAACAGGCCACAGTAGAATTCTGTGTTTAGATCTTAGATATCCAGTGATGTGGCCATTCTATGCAATATACACTTTTCTTTATAAAGGCATCAAACCAGTGCCTTCACCTTGGTGAGAAGGAAAATGTAGTACTGGTCAGAGTACAGTTTTACAAGTCAAGTCTCTCTTCAAGCCTTCAGATTCCAAGGAGCAACCAATGAATACGACATTTATACAATCACCTTCCAGTGTTCTGTGATGATAAGAAATGAAGAATGCCCTTTCCAGGCTAGTGATTCAGTCACTGGTTTCAATGGCTGCATTTGTAACTGGGTCACTAGAATGACTTACCAGAGTAGATAGCTCTTAACTACTTCTCTATATGCCTAAGAAAATTCCTGCATAACGTGGCACTGTCCTTCCTGAGCCCCTCCATTTAAGATAACTAATCAGAAATAAGCCTAGCTGAAGGAAAATCAACATGCCTTGAAAATACTAGGTTAATCTCCAAGGATTTCAGTTGATTTCTTTTTCACATGTCTGTAAACAAGGTGAATCATTAGGCTCTCCTTTAGTGACTTTCTTGCAAAAAAAAAAATGTATACAGGTTACTTAGGATGTTTATTGAGCTAAATTCAAATGCAGTTTCTTTTTTTCATTACTTTAGCCATATAAGTACTAAGAAATACCTCAATTATTCACTTAATTTAAAACAAAAAAAACCTTCAGTGGGCCACATTTTCTAGATCTGTTAGTGGTCAATGCTAGTCTGTTTTATCCCATTGAATTATAAAGGCCATTGAAGAAAAATATTTTGTTGACTGACATTTATATTTTCATCACCTGCTTTTTTTTGCTTTTAATTGTATTTTAAGAGGGGGTTAGGCAGTCAATTAAATTTCTTTCTAAAAATCAGGAGATCAATTTAGACTATTCATGTTTAAGTTTTCACATATATGGCTTAATTTCCCCTAATGTATTTTCTCCTTGTAGACTGTTCACTCTGCATATTACTTCTAAGGGAATGAATTCATACCATTAACAAAATCTGGTTTGTTTTTTTTTTTGGTCAGTCATGGGGCTTGAACTCTGGGCCTGAGTGCTGTCCCTCAGCTCTTTAGCTCAAGGCTAATGCTCTACCACTTGAGCTAAAGTGCCACTTCCTAAAATCTGTTCATTTAAAACAATAATTTTTATCAGAAAATTAGGCAATGGCTTTCCTAAAACATCCATCTTCATATATATATATAAAACATCTATACACACACACACACACACACACACACACACGTTATATAGAGAGGGGGGAGGGAGAGAGAGAAAAAGACTCTTAATTCCTAGAAATAGGCACTTGTTCTCTAAGCTTTCATCATTTTTGAATCAAAGGACTACCTATAATATAACAGCCAAACTCTTGGGAAACTCATCTTATATGAAAATTCACTGTGGAGTCAGTAAAACCTGTCACTCAGTCATAATTTGGCAATGCTAAGAATGGAACCCAGGGCCTTGTGTATGCCAGGTAAGCACAGAGCTGAGCTACCCCCTCCCCAGCCCAAATGCAAATAAAACAACTGTCCTTTAATGTTTACTTTTATAAAATGTAGAGAATTCCAGATTCTACTAAATGAGCCAGCAGATTGTTTTCTCTAAGACTCCTTAAAAAATATAATCTACTATCATCTCAAAATGACTTTATGACTATAAACTAATTCATATTGGAGTAAATAAAACTTACCACTTGGAGAATGTCTTCATCTTTTGGCATAACACTAAGTTCCAATGTGGTATCACTGAAATTGGAATATAAATACACTTTTTTAGTGGAGATGAAAGTATGTAAGAAAGATTAAAGGAAAAATAGTTAAAACTCAAATATTTTTAAGCTGTTTATGAGTTGGTTCTTAAAACAGTATTTTTTATTAGAAAATCAGACAACTCACTAAAATGAAGTCACTTTTATATGGGTAAGTTAATAATATACAAAAGAACCAGGAGCTGATGGCTTACACCTGTAATCCTACTACTTGGGAGGCTGAGATCTGAGGAATGCAGTCTGAAGTCAGCCCAAACAGGCCATGAGACTCTTTTTAAAATAAACACCTAAAAACCAGAAGTGGAGCTGTAGGTCAAAGTGGTAGAGCACTAGTCTTTAAAAAAAAAAACAAAAAAAACAACTCAGGAACAGTGTTCAGGCCTTGAGTTGAAGCCCCCAAACCTACAACAAACAGTAACAACAACAACAACAATATACAAAAGAGAGCATCCAACCAATCATATGTCTGCACATCTAATAATGATTAGCCAAGTCTTCTTTGTAATGTGTGTAGTTAATTTAGAAATATAAACTATGTTACCTATACAAAATAATCCTAGGACAAAACTTAGAACAACATTAGTAACATTACTACACAATTATTTATTGATTTTCAAGTCACAAAACAAATACTTTGGGGAGAGGCAGTAATGGGATCTAAATTCAGAATTTTGTACTTCCTAAGCAACTGATTTGCCGCTTCACCCACACCTTCATCCCTTTTGGCTGGGATATGGTTATTTGGGAGATAGGGTCTTGATTTTTGCCTGGACTGATCAGGGTTGTTATCCTCCTAGTTAGACTTCCTTGTGTTAGCTGAGTTCACAGGCTGCAATGCTTTTATTGGTTGACATGGGTCTTGTGGAATTTCTCTTGGGCTTGCCTCAAACTGCAATCCTCCTGATCTCCAAACCCAAGTAGATAGGACTACAGGCATAAGCTACAAATTATAAATTCTTACCACATTCTCTGGTCATCAAATCTGAAACTTATTAATATAAATTAAGCAAAGAACCCTTAAATTGAAGTTCTGGGGACTGAACTCATGTCCTTCACCTCATCTTCTCTCAAATTTAACATGTTTACATTTTAAGCAACTTTATATACTTTTGAAATATTGCCTCTTAGTCTTGGAAGTAAAGGAATACGTTTGCCATTATGACTACAAAAGTTTTTTTGTTTTTTGTTTTTGTCATGGGGCTTGAACTCTGGGCTTAGGTGCTGTCCTTGTGCTCTTCAGCTCAAGGCGAGCGTTCTACCGCTTGAGCCACAGCACCACTTCCAGTTTTCTAGCAGTTTGTTGGAGGTAAGAGTCTCATGAACTTTCCTGCCCGGGCTGGCTTTGAACCGCGATCCTCAGATCTCAGCCTCCTGAGTAGCTAGGATTACAGGCGTGAGCCACCGGCGCCCAGCTAAAGTAATTTAACACCTCTGACAACGCCCAGCTAAAGTAATTTAACACCTCTGACAATATCATTTCACATATTGTTTTCTTCCCTCTGATTTAATTTTAGAACTTTTATAAGAACAGCTTAAAGTGATTTTATTTTGGTGATACTAATTTTCTGTTAAATATAATAGAGAAGTTTCTCTAAGATTAAAAAGGTCAAAGGGAGATGGGCAAGCATGCGCAAGGGCTAGGTTCTATCCCCAGACTGAAAAGGAGGGAAAGAAAATAACCAAGAATTTAAATGGAACCCCATGATCTGAAATTACATTTAGATATAGCAAGGACAGTACCACTATCTCCATTGAGGAGTTCAATAGTATCATATCTGACTATATCACAATCTAACAATATCATATCCCTCAATATGCTCCAAAGATTAAGCAGTAATCAAACACTATCAAAAAAATCCACAACCAATAATTTATCTGTCTCTCATTTGATAGATCTGAACCATTATTTTTAGGTTCATAAATGTGGGGAAAATGGCAAAGCAGTGAGAACCATAAGTGCAAATAAATGAAACTAACAAAACATAGAGGTACTTGTATTTCATGGAACGCACGTGCGCGCGCGCACACACACACACACACACACACACTAACACTCACACTCACTCACAGTTTAGAAGAGTTCTTTAGCAAGGATCCAGTCTTATATTAGCTTACTGCACATTGTCAAGGGCTTTGTGCTACATTATATAGTTACTTCCAACCATAAATAAAGGGAACATAAGTTTTAAGATCATAAAGAAAAGTCAGTATTTCTCTCAGTTTTCAAGATGCTTTTTATTGGCTGAAAAATTAAGACTGCAATTCCAGTGTTTTCTAGAATTATGTTGATTTTGAGGAGAACAAAGATTAAGTTGTGATTACTTGGAAAATTGTATATATATAGTGGTTGTTGGTTGTGGGGCCTGAACTCTGGGCCTGGGCGCTGTCCCTCAGCTCTTCAGCTCAAGGCTAGTGCTCTACCACTTGAGCCACAGCGCCACTTCTAGCTTGTTTATGTGGTGCTCAGGAATTGAATCCAGGGCCTCACACAGGCAAGGCAAGCACTCTACTACTGAGCCACCTTCCCAGCCCAGAAAATAATATTTTTAAAGACATTTTAAACAAACTAAAATCCTGAAATTATAGGCTGACAAAACATATTGGTGTATTTATAATAGTCTCAAGTAGTGTTAGAAATCAAAAAACTTAGGTAGATTCCCCACTACCTGAAGGGGTTTTCAATTCATTACCAACATTAGAGGCAAGATTTAAGAGTTATTTTCTCTAATGACTTCATTAAATATTAAAACACTAAGGAGAATATTGAGATCAATTAATCATGATTGTGTCATTTAATTGTAAAATAATAACAATATATTAGGCCATTAGTGTAAATAATTTAGATTACAGTAAAGCTGTTTTAGGACATAGCTAGAGAGATTGATAAAGCTCTTTAGAAAAACAAAAAATGCCAACTGAATTATAAACAGGTGAATGAAGCTAATAGGAACCATTAGATAATCCAAAAGTTATAATATTTGGATCTGGGAAGAATCTCTTCAATAGAAAGAGCCTCTGGAAATCAGACCTAGACTTATAATCCATTGAAATTCAATAGGGTGACCTCTGGTTTGTTTACTTGTAATCTAATAAATACGTGTTTACCTTTAGAACTCAAAATTGTATCCTTCTGCAGGTTATAGGCACATGCACTAAAAGAAAGTATCTTGCTTCCTTCATTAAAATAAATGAGTTTAAGCCAAGCAGATTATGATCACTGAATAATACATTAATGTTGTATTATCAAAAGATACTATGTATGCATTTATTTCTATACATTTTAAACAAATTATATATTTCTCACTTCAAATGAAAGTGGGGAAACTTACATGTGATCTGAAATGTGTGCCTCTCAGACCCTAAAGGATCTAAATCACAAATCTGACAAATCTGACACAGCAAAGCCATCAACTCAGCTCTGCCAGACAGTGATTACTGGTAAGTGTCAAATGCATTGTTCACTACATAGAACATTTTACATCTCCCTGTCACCCCAGTTCTTTACAGAAATACAAAACTGTACTGCATCTATTTCTTCTACTGATTTATAAACCATCTTGGCCCAAATTAGTATTATTTAAAGAATCTTACCTGTTCTGAATTAGTGCAATTACTTGAGAATAGGTCTTTCCAATAACACTTTCTCCATTCACTTTTATAATTCGGTCACCTTTGAGGAAGAATGGGAAGAAAACACATGAGGAAGTACTAGAGAAAATCACTCTGACATAATGTTGAAAATATTTCTTGAAGATGTCATTTTTTTCCTTCTGTTTTTCAAATTCAGGGCCTTTCCACATGCCAGGCTGGCACTCTATATCTGAGTTACATTCCTAACCTAAGAATAATATGTTTATTATTTTTAAAAGTACATTTTACAAAAAAATGAATTGAAATTTTGGTATATCAAACTTATCCGGAAACACAGCCATGTTCTCAGTAAGAGTTCTAGACATAGATGAGCTTAGCAATTTCAAAAAGTATAGTCTTCACATCTCTATGAAGAGTTATTTCTCCACTCACCCTATCATTTCTGCCAGGGAACATTATTCAGCTGTTTGCATTTCATCAGTGCCCTCTATCAATTGATATAACAGTATCTTTCCTATGTACACATTTGGTTAGTTGATTAGTCTCTAAAACTTAAATATGGGAATGCATGTGCTTTTGACTTTGTATATACATGTATATTTTAATGGAGGAAAAGATATTGAAGTACTCTGAAAAGCTCAGAGACATAGAAAGTTAGAGAAATAAAGGACAGTAGAGAGGAATGAGAAAAGTAGTTTATGTGTGCTTGCTCTTCACAGCATCTCACTTCATCATCTCAGTCTTATGACTCAACATATGGCAGATGATACACTCTGTGTAAAGGACTCTAATATGTATGGTAATACACACACTGTACATATTAATATTAAAACTGGGATTATATTAAAGTGCGATGAAAAAGATAATTCTGCTAGGAAATATTAGTGAATCTTAATAAATGTCAGCAATGATATTCATTACTTATTTTTAGCTCAAATGTTTTATTCAGAGAAGTCTTCATGGATTCCCATTTTAAATTATTTCATGTTTAAAAACAAGAAAAAAAGAATAACTATTTTGCAGTGTTGAATAATCTATGACATCTTTAGTTTTTATTTTATATCCACCTAACTAGGGCACATTCACTGATGTGTGCAGGTGGAGGAGCTTAGGAGCACAGAAACTCAAGCCACAACTTGTGCTTGCCAATAATTCCTCTCTGGAACCTCTAGAACTTGGGAAGCTCCCAAGTTTCTTGCAAACTGTGCCAAATAAAAAACATTTATCATTTTCCTATTTATTCAGTGTGTGAAAACTAGGTTTTTAAAGTCTGTTCCCTGTGTCCACAATTTATCACTTTACATGATTTGTTTCTGTCCAAAGCTACCCATGTAGGTATCGAGACACATACTACTCAGTCTCAAGAGCAGTAATAATATATGTGAAGGGAAAGGGATAGCATATAGAAGGACAGGAAAAGGGAAAAAAATAGAGAACACAAAAATAGAGAAGGAAGAGCTAAATGGAAAAAAAGTAAAAAGATACTGCTTAAAGAAGATCATCAGCACCTGTGCACAATCCAGCTTCAAAAGCAGGTCCTCCTTCTTTAACTTGCTTAACGAAGATGGTATCCATAGGTTCCAAGCGGTTTCTTTGTTTTCCTATGGAAGCAAAAAAGCCCAAGACATAATGTGACTTCACAGTATCCTATTAAAATATGAAAACATAAAATGATATCTAATGGAGATAATTAAGCAGAGATTGATTTGAGGGGGAGGGTCAAGTCGTGGGGCCTGAACTCTGGGCCTGGGCGCTGTTCCTCACCTCTTCAGCTCAAGGCTAGCACTCTACCACTTGAGCCACAGCGCCACTTCCGGCTTTTTTTCTTTTTGCTTATGGGGTGCTGAGGAATCGAACCCAGGGCCTCAGGCATTCAAGGCAAGCGCTCTACCACTGAGCTACCTTCCCAGCCCTTAAACAGACACTTTTGATGAAGTATTACACATCCTGAACCTGGATGCTAAGATCAAAATGTTGGAATTTTCATTAACTCAGTGTTTATTTTCCTTCTTCTATAAACAAGGACAAGCATGGGTTTCTGTTAACTGAGAATATTCTGTATGTCAATTAGTACATCACATACTATACATGAGTAGCTAGGATTACAGGCGTGAGCTACTGATGCCCGGCGCTGTTGACTTTTAGTACTGAGTCGTGCTAAGTTTTAAGATAAAGTGATAAGGGAGACTTTTCTTCCCATCAAAGATGCTGGTAGAAGAAAGACATACAAATAGGATGGTGTAAAAACAATCCAAGACAAATACAGAATTCAGTCATGGCTATGAGGATGACATGATGAACACAGAAATAAATGTCACTCAAAATGCAAACACTGTATTGCAATCAAGTTAGTAATCAGGTTGCATTCTAACATATTCACAATAGTTGCACTTAAAATGCACATGATTATTAATGAATTCTACAAAATAATAAGAAGTTAGTTTGACAGTAGTAGTATAACTTTTGAAAATTCTAATAGAAAAGTTCACTTAAACAGAGTGGTTTAAGTTTCACTTAAACAGGTGGTTCAAAGTAATTTGGGGCTAATTTCTATAAAGGAAATATTAATTCTACAATGACTTCCTCTGTAAAGCTAGAGGTAATCTGTCGATGGCAAATCTATCAATAAATTATGCTTGAAAATATATGAAGATGAGAGATTAAGAGAAGCCAGTCCTACAGGAAATACTATTATATGTGTTGAGAGTTATATACCTGATTCTGTTTACTTTCCTTTCTATATTTTATCCTCAATACTAGCTAGATATTAGTATCCAGTTCCTTTAGACAAGGGGAAATTGTTCCAAAAATATCCCTTACATACAAGCAAGAAATAGCTCTCTCTTCAATTTCCGTACTTCTTGACTTTAAGTCTTCAGTTAAACATTCAGCTCTGTGTGTGTATGTGTGTGGGAGTGCTTGAACTTAGAGCCTGAGTGCTGTTCCTGAGCTTTTTGCTCAAGAGTAGCACACTACCACTTGAACTACAGCCCCACTTCTGACTTTTTGGTGGTTAATTGAAGGTTAAGTGTCTCATAGCTTTTTCTTGCTTGAGGTTGGCTTTGAACTACAATTCTCAGCCTCCTGAGAAGGATTATGAGTGTGAGTTCCTGGCAGCAATGAACTTTGTTCATTAATTTTCAGAGTATCATGTTCTCAACATGTAAGTCCTATAATCTGTAGAAACCAAATTCAAAAATAGCACATCTAAAATGTATGTTAGGCCAGGTACTATATACCTGCAATTTCAGGGAGATTATGTTTTAAAGGTGTTAAGTACTACTATACTTAGATGTCATTCCCTTAACCTTACCAAAAGAAAAGTCTTTTAGCATAAACATGTAATTAAATCTTTTGTATTTGCAAGAAAGTAAAAAGACATTGATCTCACATGCATGAGAAAATAAATCAGACTTAAGAACATATCAAAATCATCTTGAATTCACTTGAAGTTGAATTTGAAATCAGAAAGAATGAATATACTTCTACATTAAAGTAACTACTTGAGGGAAACCAACATGTCCAGTATAACTAAGTAGTTAAAACCAGATTACATGGTTTTAAATTCTAGCTCTCTTGTTTATTCTCTAAGTGGACTCTTAGACTTTGTAGTATTTGATACATGTTTATAATAAGATTATTCATCTGAAATTCAAGACTAATGGTGCATTCTTTATTTTATTCAGCAAGTCTTTTCCCAAGTGATTCTATACAAGCTATATGTGTCATATTTTTATATGTGTCACATATTAAAAAATGGGGATGTTGATAATTATACCTACCTGGCAAGACTGTAAGGATTACATGAGACAATTCATTAAGTGCTAATGTATCCAAGTAGATAGTTAATTGTTTATGCTAGTCTGATTATAAACTTTCAGAAGGTTTGCATATAGACAGTATGAGGCTGGGTGCTATGGCTCATATCTATAATCTTAGCGTGTTGGAGGATTGCTATCCAGGTAGGCCACAGTAAAAACATGAGATCCTATATAAATACAGCAAAAAGAAACCCCAAAATCAGATCAGAGACTAACTAGGCTGGGGAATATAGCTTGTCACACTGCAAATCATCAATAAATACTTGTTGAAGTCTATAAAACTCAATTGTCAGTTGAAAATACCAGCCAAAGAAAAAGGAACACACACACAAAATGTAGAAAGGTAAAAAGACCATACTGAAAGCAACTTCAGTATCTTTGATATTCACTCTATACTGTCTTCAAAAGAAAACTGGGTGCTAAAAAAAAAACAGACTGCTGTATTGCTAGGGCATTGTGAATAAACAGGCTGACTTCACTCTCTAATGATCTTTTTCTGAGAATGCTAAACTCAAAATCACATAACCACAGCATTTAATTTACTTGCAAATCTGAAGTCTTAAGTATATAAAGCAAAAGGATGAAAGTAAATAGATTACCAAGGAAATAAAATTTGAACTAGGCTACTTAGGAAAAAAGCCCCTGAAATGAAGATCCACAGAAACATAGATCATTATAGATGGAACTCTATATAATTCTGGAAATAAGAGACCATTTTTTTGAACAGACTGAAAAAATATGTATAATTATATAAGAAAAATCAACCCATACTTACAATACAGAAAAAATATGCCTCTGCATATTACAGGGCATTTATAAAGCAAACAGCTAAACATTTTATCTTTAAGATCCAGAACAAGAAAAGAAAGCCCACTTTCACCACTGTTATTCAGTACAGAAAGTCCTCATAGAGACATCCGACATGAGAAAATACTGACTTCTAAATTGAAAGGGGGTGGGGGGGGGAAGGAGGTGAAATCATTACTTTGTGCCAATGACATAATCTTGTATACAGAAAATCCCTAACACTGTATCAAGAAACATTATTATAGCTGGGCGCTGGTGGCTCACGTCTGTGGCTACTCAGGAGGCTGAGATCTGAGGATCACAGTTCAAAGCCAGACCAGGCAGGACAGTCCTTGAGACTCTTTATCTCCAATAAACCACCCAAAAACTGAAGTGGTGCTGTGGTTCAAGTGGTAGAGTGCTGGCCGTGAGCTGAAGAGCTGAGGGACAGTGCCCAGGCCCAGAGTTCAAGCCCCACGACTACTACCACCACCACCACCAACAACAACAACAACAATAACAAACCCACAAAACAAATTCAGCCAATTTGGAAGATTTTTTTTTAAAAAAGTAACATTACTATACACCAATATACACCAATTTCTGAAATAGAAATTAAGAAGCAAGTCAAATTTGTAATATCTACAAAACATGAATAAATTTAATCAGTGACAGATCTCTACAATGAAAAAATCCAAACTACTGATGAAAGAAACTGAAGAGGAGAAACAAAAATAAAGAGAAAGCATCCCATGTTCATGGATTGGGAGAGCATCCATTAAAAAGTCCACACTATCCAAAGCAATTCACAAATGCAATGCAATTGCTATCAAGGTACCATGGTTTTCTTAAAGAAGATAAATAATCCTAAAATTTTATAGTACTACAAAACTCCCAAATAGCCAAAGTCATTTTGACAAAAGGAACAAAGCAGAAATTACACTACCTGACTTCAAAATATACTACATAAAGTTGTAATATCCAATAATAATATGGCATTTGCATACAACAGATGAAGGACCAATGGAACAGAATAGAGAGACTAGAAATAAGCACACACATCAATAGCCAAATGATTTTCCACAAAGGTCTGAGAAAGAACAGTGTTTAATGAGTGATACTGGGGAAACTGGATAACCACGTGTAGAAGAATGAAACTAGATCTCTATCACCTACCAAATGCCAACTCAACTTGGATTAAAGACCTAAATGTAAGACAACTATGAAACTGCCAAGAGAAAAGCTTCAGGATATTTGGAAAATAGACCAAGTGGGAAAATAGATAAATGGGTTTTTAAAAATCAAATTTAGAACTTTCTGTACAGCAAAGGAAATAATGATCAGAGTGAAGAGACAACTAGTAGAGAAAAAATATCTTTAAAAATTTTAAATAGTTAATAGACTTAAATAGACATTTCTCAAGACAGATGGCCAACACACATAGGGAAGAGGCTCAATATTACTATCTGAGAAGTGTCCATCAAAACCACAATGAGGTTATTACCTGTAGCAGTGGTTATTTAAATAAAGGTCTGAAGTTAGATAACTACTTGGCAAGGACAAGGAGGAAAGGAACCTTGGGCACACTGTTGGAGGACGGATGAAGGACAGATGGACACAAAAAGAGGGGGAGGAAGGAAGGGAGAAAGGAGGGAGGGAGAAGGGAGGGAGGGAGGGAGGGAAGGAAGGAAGGAAGGAAGGAAGGAAGGAAGGAAGGAAGGAAGGAAGGAAGGAAGGAAGAAGGAAGGATAAATTAATTAATTACCATTGAGGCAAACAGCAAGGAGATTCTCAAGAAATCAGAAATAGTACTACCCTCTGCTCCAGCAATCCAAGGTAGGTAGATATCCAAGAGAAATGAAATCAGTGGAAGAGACATCATGTGCACTGCAGTACTATTCGAAATAGCCAAGAAGTGGAAACAATATAAATTTCCATCTATTGAGGAATAGATAAAGAATATGTGGTACATATATACCATGGAGAACTATCCT